TGCAGTAAACATCTGATGCATTTGTTTAGAAAAAGTTTATAACTCTCAAATGTGGTTTTACTATGGTTTCCCGCTGTGCCCTGAATGAGCAGGGGGAGGAGGCTGATGGGAATCGAAGCAGAACAGCACCTGTGTTTGATGGAGCTGGGGATAGATACAATACCCATGAAAACTAATAATGGCCAAACTGCTTTTAAAAAAATAAGTAAAGTATCTATTTTGCTGTGCGTTCACACTAAAAATGAACGCTACTACTGAAACTACTCTTTCAGTGAGTTTAATTAACACAAGCCTACAATAGTACTTTAAGTCACCTCTGGGTACTTTATTTTACCTATATTGCAGATAATGTAAATATAACTCTGAAAATGTAGCCTGACCAGTGAGTTGCCTCTCTGCCTTCTTAGTTGTCAATCCAGAGTCACTCAATGAATTCTTTAGATCTCCAATCTCATAGGCAGAATTGATTTCAGTAGCATATGTGCTAATGGACTGAGAATTTTAAAATAATAAAATGCAAGAAGTAGTTTAACAGTTACACTCATACAGTATGTCCCTTTTCTATACTTGCTTGTTAACTGCTTTGCATGTAATCTTTAAACATGATGTAGTTACACAGTACATAACTCCATTATACATAATGTATGAAGTATAACTCTTCCAGATGTGATACTTGGGAAAATTAAACCTTCTGCAATGAAAGCAGGACTATTTGGTGATGCAAGGGACAGTACAATACATTACTTTTTGGCTGCACTACTTTTATTTTTCAATTCTAATATTGTTGCAAGTTTGATTAACTTCCTGCTCCACATTGCCTTATCTTTCTACCATGTCCTGTCACATTGGTTACAAACACCCAGAGCAAAGGAACTGGGGAAGAGGGACTCCTCTTCTGGAAAAGAGTTCAGAGAATACTGGACACTGCAGAAACTGGAGGAGATTTACATAATAGGGGCCCCTAGAAAGGGATTCAGCTGATTAGATCCCAGTAGACTTTATAGTACACTGCCAATTCACACTTCATTTTTTAACATTAAACTCGGTGCCTATTCCCCTGAATAATAGTGCAATCTCCAGAAAAGAGCAGAGCTCACTCTATAATTCTTATGGTGGCAGTTGTGCGCCCATCTGTAAAAAAGAAAGCTGAAACTCCTAGACAGACTTTGATGAAACGTTTGTGGGGGTTTACTGAATTTGACAAATTTCAGCAGGGTAAGTGGAATTCTGCTTCGCTTTTGGCACTGCTGTGGACAAAACCAGTCTTCAGCTTCATTAGATTGCAACAGGCAAGTAGCAGAATGAACACCTAAGAGTTTTACTTGCAGGGCTAAGGTGCTTCAGGACTTAGGAGAGAACTGCTGGTTTAGCCCAGGCAGCTGAAGTCCTGGAGCCAGGATCCAAAACAATGCTGAAACTCTGAATTTAGGATCCAGTATAATTTTTTTGCATTCATTTGTTTCCCTTTGTTGATACGCTGAAGTGACATTGGTCTAGTTCATACTTTTCACCACTGTGAAAAGATGTGATGAACATCTGTCTCCTGAATCTTCAAGTATCAGTGGTTTGCAGCATAGTCGGTGAACACCAAGTGCCTGTAAAAGAGAGGTGTTTTATTTTTTAATTTTGTGGGTATGTGTGGAGTTTGAGCATTTCAAAACCCTCATATAAGTCAATAGAGATTTGCCACTTGCTTTGTAAAAAGCTTGAGTTGCTCTTTTTTTCCATAAAGCAAAATCTGATTGTTGAAACAGAACCCAGTCTTTATATTTATTGTTGTAATTTGCAAAGTGACTATTCTGTGAAGGTGTTTGTTCTACTTTGTGGTGGAATCTTAAAGGCAAGTTGTTAAGCCTTTCTAGGAGCTTGGCTTTCTCTTCACAAGGCTGAGTAAAAATGCTCTAGACTAGCCCTGGACTTTTTTCACACACACTGAGCCTTTTAAAAACATCAAGCCTGGGGTCTGTTCTCAATGTAATACTTTTGCTGCCTTGAAAGTGATCATTTCCCCTGTAGCTCTGTGCTTTAAGGAACAGGTAACTAAACAAAATGAAGCCATGCAATTCACAAAGCCGTTGGGGAAAATTACTTGGGAATAAAATTCCCAAATTTAAAAAGTTAAAACTTTATCTGTGGAAAAAGGATGATTTAGGGAGGCAGTGGTATTGCTCCCAGTTGTTAGTGTGTCTTTCTTTTCCTGATTTCCCTGTGCAAGCAGATGGTTTCGTTTAGATCTTACATCTTCCTGACATTCTACCACAAACATTCTCCCTGAGCCTGTTTTACCTTATAAGGCGCGTGGCCCAGCCAGCTGTGGATCGGAGGAAGGGGGCGTGGCCAGGAGCAGAATTCTGACCCTGAACTGAGAGCGGGAGGGAGGATGTGGGCGTGGGGGGACATCCTGCCACTCTTCCTATTTTATTCCCCCCCCCCCCCTTTTTTTTTTGCTCCGCTTGAGAGACGGTCACCATACTATGTGACCTAGCCTTTTCAGTTTCTTTTTTTTTTTGCAACTCATCTTGGAAGTCTCCTTTGGAGTTCGTGGAGGGAAAACTGCCTGCAAAGCATTTTTCTCATGACATTTGTACTTCATGCGCATTGGTTTTTTTTTTTCTTCCATGGCCTCCCTAGTTTGGGGCACCGTAGAGTGTGCCCTGCTGCTCAACAGCGCCCCCATCAGGCCCTTTGGGTTCTTCTTGCGTTAATAGGTGCAGATCTCGTACCCGAGCCCAGGCTGTTTGTTTTTCAGCAGCCGGGGTTCTCTAGAAGTTTTTCTCTCAGCTCCTCTCTTGTTAGGGAAGGAGGAGACGGATGTTCTTGCTATCTCTAATGTTGGCCCCAGACGTAAAAGAAACGCAGCCTTCAAGCTCAACAGGCAGACCAGGTCTTTGTGTTTGTTTAGATTTTATAACTGTGCTTTGCCCTGGCATTGTTGGTCTTATGCTCTTAGCACACAAAGCAAATATACTCTGTGACATTTTTTTGTTTGGATGATCACTTATTACACAAGGTGATCTGCATCTTTTAAAGAAGCTGGCAAAGGGAGTAGGCCCAGCACCTGCGCCATCATCACTTTATCCTTAGTGGATTGTGATGAGCCAGAGCCTAATGCAAGTTGGGAACAGAGCCTGGCTGGGACAGCAGTCTATCAGAGGGCTTTGTAAAACACACACAGTTCCAGCATGCACACTACCGGCACACACACAGGGGCAAACTTGAGAGGCCAGTAAACCTCATGATTGTCATTGGACTGTGAGAGGAAACGGACCACTCAGAGATAAGCCACATAGACATGATGGGACCATGCAAACTCCACACAGCAGGTGCCCCAGTTCGAAACCTAACTCAAGACCAGTGAGGCAGCAGTGCTGACCCTCATGCTACTGTGCAGAAGCTATGTATTTGTTTTCCATTTCCATTTGTTTTTAATAGTCCTACAATGGAGTGCTGAGAACCTTACAACCATTCTGAATTACCACAATGAATATCAGTCAGGCTATTTCACTTAATGGTCCAGATGACTTTCTCTGTGAGATACTGGAATGCACTTTGTTTGTTCCACAGGAAATAGTCTGGGTGGAAACAGGATCCAAACATGATAAAGTGCTTTAAAACTCACTCACCTTTTCAGTCCCGTTGAAATTTTCAGTATTTTGTTTGTGGTTTTTACAGTTAATGAAGCTATTATGATAATTGAAGCATAATTGTACCACATAAGCACATACCAGACAAGTATAAATATCAAGGCATTCTTGCACATGCCTTATCTTCTTTCCTCAGAGTTTCAGAATTTCAGGCCCTGTTATTTGGATACTTTGCTCTCTGTTCTAAGTCTTATATTATCTCAAGTCCTCAGTAGAGGCCCGGGTTAGTCAATCTTTTTCATATCTTGCAACAGCAAGAATCGATTTGGCTGACTAGATTTGCAACTTTTAAAAATTCTCCATATGTAGGTGTTTCTTATCATAAAATGAATCCGTATGTTTAACCCAACAGGCCATCTTAAACAGTGCTGCCAAGATGTGGTATGAAAGGGTTTAAACATTTCAGGCACTTTTTCCCCCCGTTAGCACTGTTGAAGTGTAATAGAGGCATTCAAAGAAATATGTAACAAGGACTGCCTAAAATCAGCAGGCCAATCTTGAGTCGAAGCTCAGGCTTTGTGGGCAGAAGAAGTATTTGCCAGACTGGAATATTCCGCCTGTGAGGGAATGGAAGACAGTAAATCACCAAAGTCCTGTTTTCCTTTTCACTGAGTAAATTCCTCCTTTTTGGGGGCACTAAAATTAATGCCTTGAAGCTGGAGCTGCAGACTAAGGCTTTGCGCAAGTTTTTCTTCACATTCTCCTAGCTGGACGCCTGTCTGCGTGACTGATTGTAGAGGGGGAGAAAAGACTGGGTTTATAATACAGGTCATTATGGAAAGATGTAGCAGTTCCAGGTTTTGTTGTGTCTTGCAAGCATGACAGTGGAGTAAGTGTAATTTGTACAGCTTGAAATATTATCCCACTCACTCTTCCCTGGTGCTCTCACACAGGTTTTTGTTTCTTTTGAGAATAATACTTGACTCAGATTATATTTTGACATCACTGTCCGCATTCTTGCGCTATAAACTGCCTGTGGGCCCAAGACACTGTTTTTTTAGGGAGAGTGAATGTTATGTTCCTTTGTCCCCTCATTTAACTTTTACCCATTTTAAAGAGCGACATACTGATACCACGGACTGCAAAATCCCCTACAAAATAAAATGGAACCTTTGTGTATGTAGTTTCCAGTCTTGTATTTCTTTTCTTTATTTAACACCTCAGATATTAGTTGGCTCAGTTAAATGGGGAACATTATAAATCCTTCCAGTGTTTAGTACTTGGCGATAAACTGATCATTTTCCTCTGGAGGGCTGTGGATCTCCAGTAGGCGGGGGTGCAGTTCCAAGAGCGGGCTGTAGGGGGCGCTATCGTTCCCCCCCCAGCCTGACGTGTCGTCCTTTGCCCCGTCGCTAGGCGGAGGGGGATGTGGCTGCGCTGAACCGCCGGATCCAGCTGGTGGAAGAGGAGCTGGACCGGGCTCAGGAGCGACTGGCCACCGCGCTGCAGAAGCTGGAGGAGGCCGAGAAGGCAGCTGACGAGAGTGAGAGGTCAGTCCAGGAGTGGGGTGGGGGGGGTGAAGGTGGGTCTAGTACTTCTAGCCCCCCGTCATCACCAGAAACTGTGGGAATGTTGGCAAGAGTCCTGAGTCCCCAGGGGCCCAGTGGGAGATGGGGATCGTGGCTGTTGATCACGATTTACAGGGGTGTTGTTGCAGAAATGGCGAGGTAGCAGGAAGTATGTACTTCATCTGATTCAGTCCTGGCACTACATTGTGAAAGTAGACAATACTGCTGAATATCCCCTTTAGGAAGACGGGAAATTGTTTGGCTGTTTTATAATCTGGTGTTTCTTTGGAGCTTCCGAGAACCGAGAGCTCTAGGGTTTGCGTGGGTCTTGCTCGGAAAAGGCCTGACCCGTTCTGTTTCCCGCCCACCCCCGCCTCCCCCCCCCACAGGGGCATGAAGGTGATCGAGAACCGGGCCATGAAGGACGAGGAGAAGATGGAGATCCAGGAGATGCAGCTGAAGGAGGCCAAGCACATCGCCGAGGAGGCCGACCGCAAGTACGAGGAGGTGAGCCGAGCCGCTCGTGCTGTGGACCCTGCAGGCCTGCCTCCGAGACCACGCCCGGGTTCGAGGTGCCCGTGCGGTGCTGTCTGGCAGTGCCCCTGACGTTTGCCCAGCTTGTGCTGACCGCTGCAACAGCAGGCTCTTCATGTGACTGGTCTTAATTTTTACAGTATGCATCATACTGGGCAAAGGGATTTTCCCCCCAGTTGAACAGAACACCTTCATAGATGTAGGCTGCAGTGTGGAGTAATGGTCAGGGCTCTGGACCTGCAATAGTACCCACCATCTGCCACCCAGTTTAGGAATATTTTGCATCACTGAATGTATTTGCTATTTCCCCATCTGTTTAAATTAGTGCAGTATATTTGGAAGTGGTGGGTTAACCTGATCTCTCACTGCCCGGGTCTTTGACCTCTCAGAACGTTGGATTTCTGGAACGTCTCCACGCTGCTGCTCGAGTTTCTAATGAAACGGGTTTCTAGTGGCCCGTTTTGAACTGGCTTCTCATCAAATTAGCTTTTCAGAAGGTAATTCAGCAAGAGAGAGCAAAACCACCCCTTAGGTCTGGGGTGTCAAACTCTCAAAAACTCCCAGATTCCAAATTCCTGGGGGGCCTGGTGTCCTTTGGTGTTTGGTCCATCCTGATTAGTCAGTTACCCTCATTATTTTCCCAGACGTATAAAAATTTCTTCACGTCTTTCCTTTGATGACTGAAAACAAGCACTTCAATAGATGTACAGTTACCTGTAAAACAACTTCAAGCCTCATTAAATGCATTATTATGTTGTTGATTAAATAATTAGGCCAGGTATGTAAGCAAGCACTTGGCTGGGCCCAGAAACCAGAAGACCACAGGCCCTGCAGGGGTTGAGTCTGGGACCCCTGCTCTAGGAGGGGGTGTTGGGCTCAGCTGTTTGTGTTAAATGATGCAGCGTCTGGTCTTTTACCAAGTGTGGGCTTGTTCTTCTGTAGGTGGCGCGTAAGCTGGTGATTCTGGAGGGAGAACTTGAGAGAGCTGAGGAGCGGGCTGAGGTTGCGGAGCTGTGAGTATCTGTAAAAACTTGCCAGTATTTAGCAATAGTAGTGCGATAGATTGGAAACCTACTACTTCACATTGACGCATGTAATGGAATATTGTCAGTTTCAGGGCTTCAGTAGGTTTCCCTTAGTAAATAATTTCCACAGTTGCCTAAGATGTTATTGTTAATATTCACTAATGATTATATGGTACTAATGTTAATACTAACTCTTACCGAGCGTAATGTATCATTTTAATTTGGGCTTGCACATTCTGCATTGCCTGTCAAGTATTCACTTGAAAGGACTGTTTTCCTCCGTCATATGTTCAATTTCCTGAACTGTCTTTTTTTGGAATGCTTTGGAAATTTTGGATAATGAGTAAACCATTTTGAGACAAAGTGTAGGCAGGAATCTGATACAGGGGCTGTGTGAGCAGAAAGATTCTTCAGTGCTCTCTTGTGTGGATCTGCTAATGGAAATCAATGCTGTTGTGTCCCACTGCAGAGTGATGGGAGACAGTTCTTATCCACGAACGAAGGATTAATGAACAAAAAATGACGTCTTCCCAAACACATCTGAATCAGAAACAAATGTATCTTCTCCCTCCCACTATTTTCTCTTGCCCGGCAAGTCTAGACACACATTTGCAGCTAAGGTGGTTTTACTCCATGGTAGGGCTGCAAGGTTATGGTTGGATTCCCAGCCAATTTTAGGAGCTAGAAAGCCTTCTCACTAACTTAAAAGAAGCAGTGCTATCTCTTCCCTCCTACTTGCTTTCCCAGAGCCATATTATTCCCACAGGGCATATAAACTGAACTAACATGGATTTAATCTCCTCTGAAGAACAAAAGTTACACTTGTCTTTCATTACTGCATACATTTGTTTTGTGTGACTCGGATGCTCTTTAAGAAAAGCAGAGTGTTTTTCTTTTGATGATTCTTTGGAATACTGGAGGGTTTTTGCTTTTGATTTTTTCTCAGCCAGTCAGTTGGATGTTGGCGAGGTCTTGTGTTCTGTATGATGTTAATTAACCCATCTTGTGCTATTTTGTTTTTCCCCACAGGAAATGTAGTGACCTGGAAGAGGAACTGAAAAACGTTACCAACAACCTAAAGTCTCTAGAAGCCCAGTCTGAGAAGGTGTGTTCAGTTTTTCTGCAATACTTCTCCAATTCCGAAACCTTGTTCTTGGGTGAAGTAGAATCTTGTAAAAATGCTTCTAGAATTTGGAAACGCTCAGTGACTTAACGTAAAATAATTGAATTATGAATATGAGTTTTATGCAGCAGTGTTTTTGAAGACTACGAGATCACTCTCCTCTGTTGCTCAAGCCAACCTGGAGCAGTGCCTGTGTTTGGGGCAAAGTCTCAGGACATTTTGTCCAGTAGGATTGAATCATGGCTTCTCTTCTTTCATGGTCCCTCTTGTTGTGGAGTGGGAGCAAATCTCTTTATTGGTTTCTTTTTCAGTACTCGGAAAAGGAGGACAAGTATGAAGAGGAAATCAAGGTTCTCGGCGACAAGCTTAAAGAGGTATAGTGTGGTTCTCCTTTTCCTGTCTGTACAATATCTGAGAAAAAAAATAAACATCTTTACATCCATAAGCCAAGGCTGGGTCCATCTCCAGTACAAGGATTCATTCTCGGTTTCTCTTGTCTCCAGGCCGAGACCCGAGCTGAGTTTGCTGAGAGGACAGTTGCCAAACTGGAAAAGACCATCGATGACCTGGAAGGTATGGTAACCCCATTTCTCACAGATCCTCATTTCAGTCTGTGTGGAAATGCGCAACAGAACAGAATTGTTACCACAGAAAACTGCCTTCTCTTTCCACGCTAAAACGTTACAAGGCCTTTTGGCCCAAAAACAGCCAAACTGGTGTTGGGCTGAAATGTGCTGTGATGTTATTCACCCCAAGAGAATCTGTAGTCCATCCTCAAAGCATGATGGTTTTCTGCTCATCATTTATCTTCACAGAGTGAGCTTACGTTCAGCATTTCAGCACCTTCAGGAAAGCAATGAGCACTATGAAATTCTACATGAATGATAATGTAGACTTTTTAACAAAAAACTGCTAGCAGGGTAGTTGGTTTTTGTGGCCAGTTTAAAAAGCCTTTGAGTCTTAACTGCATAGGGCCCAGTTCTGCTGTAGAATCAGGGTTGTCTTGAATTTGCTGTCACTGGATTGCAATGTTGCAATTAAGAAGGATTTTTTATATATGTGTACTTTTGATTTGTTTATGTTTTACTTAAGGATTCCTGGACACTGTAATTTAAGGATTTATTAATTTATTTGGTTTGATTTGAGATGCAGACTGTGGCATGATACACTCGTAGTATGTTTTATGTTTGGTCGTATTTGAAAAACCGAAATGTGGTTAAGAGTGAAATTACTGAAAACAGGCTTAATCAGTTATGCAGTATTTTGTATATCTTTTTTTTGTATGGCCATATTTTATGACTGAATCGTTTTATTATTGTGACTCATTTGTGCAGGCCTTAAATACCGAATCGGGTTGCTTCCTGTCCTTTTGAGTCTTCTCAAACTTAAAATGGAAAGCTGACTTGTCAGGTCCCAGCCTGGGATTAAGGTTTCAACTTTCTTTAAAAAAAAAAGACCTTCTGCTGAACTTGTGGAAAATTTTTAAAGGACGGTCTGCTGCTTCACTCAGTCTCATGAGTAAAGTAGTGTGTATAATTATGATGCAATGAGGCAGAGCCAGAGGATACTTGCCAGAGAATTTGTATTCTCTGTGTTGCCTTTGCAGGGGAACTTGTGCGTAGTGCACACCAATATGGAGGGCAGGATACCTGTACTTATATTAGTTTGCTTTGGGTCCTCTCCTGTATAATTTATAGACTGGATTTCTCACTTACTTGGCTATGTGTGTGGTGGGGAAATGCACATTTTAGAATAATAAAGGGAACAACTTGTGCGGTTCCAAAATAAACTAAAGACTCACACAGTTAGATGACTCCCATTAACACTAGAGACCTGGGCAATCCAATTTTCTGTGGAGTGTCCCATTTTTCCTTGTCTAGCCCTGACCCTAAAAAAAAGTTATTCCAGGAAATGATTCAAGTAGAATTTCATCAGGAGCTAGGAAATGGCTTTGTGTCTTCAATGTTGTTGTAGACTTCTTGCTTTTTTTGATGATCTGCTCTTGCTCTTCCTGACCTGTCTGTTTTTCCATTTCTCTCCCTCTCTCTGTTCCCTGCTCGTTTCATTTCTTCTCTTTCTTCCGGCACTCCTCTGCTGCTGCTGCTCCCTGCTTCCTGCGCCCTTTGACCTCCAGACGAACTTTACGCTCAGAAGCTGAAGTACAAGGCCATCAGTGAGGAGCTGGACCACGCCCTCAACGACATGACCTCCTTATAGATGGCCTCTCCCCTTTCCCCCCTCCACCCTCTCCAACAGCCTTTTCTCTCCAGAACGGTGGCCTTCCTAATTCCTGCGGCCTGCTCTCTACTGCTGCCTCGAATCTCTGGTCATTCACCCCTGTGCCTTTTCTCTGAGTCACCTTCTGTGAGAACCTCTCTGTAAAAACAAAGCTTTAATAAAGTTCTTTCTGTCTCATGGCACATCTTCCATTTCCGTTCTTCCTTTCTTTGAACATTCTTAAGCATTCGTAAGCCTCCTGCCTAATGAAAAAGCTGTCGGGGCCTGTTCTATTTTTTTTGTTCTAGGAAGCATGTCACAGACAGGTATATCAGGTGATGCCTACAGCCTGTGAACTTAACATGACCAACTTTGTGTTATATTGTTTTTTAGTCAATGGGGGAAAAAGATGCAATGATGAGTCAGAAAATAAGACTTTGACAGTGTCTCTTCAGACTCTTTACTGTAACTGCAACATCTGCGCATGGTGACTCCCCAGCGGTTCCCACCAGCAGAAGTGCTTGATCAGAGTACAGGTCCAGATGTCTCTGTGGTCCAGATGTTGCCCATGCATGTCTGGATGACGTCATTGGCTGACTGTGACTGGAGCTCCTTAATAATGCATAATGCATAACGTGCCAGGCACTGGATAGGTGGGGCCTAGTTGGCCGTGGATCAAGCAGTGATTCCTGGGAGCTGCAGGAGACCTGTGGGTTTTCGATGATGTCAGCAAGAGTGCTGTTTCTCCAATCGGTGTTGACTCTCCTGTAAAGCACTGTAGAGTTTAAAACATGTCCAGAGATTAAAGGCTCTGATCAACAGGCATGTTGGAGTGCTCATTCTCCCTGTGCAGACCTAGAGTTATACAGTAGCTATAAAGCTGTAGAACGCAATTGGTGACTCTAAACTGCTTTGGTATAAAATGGAAAATAGTTTATTTGTTTTATTTTTAAAAACGCCTTCCATGTAGAGTGCTTATGGTACTATAAGGGGACAGAGGCATACACCATGTTCAAATGCGGGCTTCTGGTTCGATTATTTAACAGTTTAAGAGCTTTGCCGGGAAAACCGTTAAATACAATAAATTTCCAACTTTTAATCCTAAAATTAATCATTAAGCATTAGTCAGCAATGAGCAGTGTTAAGGCTTTGGACTTAAACTGGAGGTTTGAGACTTCAAAGCTTGAAGCCATAAACAGAGAAAGGAGTAACATTGATACAAGTAAGAGTTAGTGTTTTTTCATCAATGTTTAAAGAAAAGATTAAATTAGATTGACTTATCCTTTTGTCATGCCTTTAAGCTGGTGGTGATTTACAAAAGACATTGAAAATTTTACGACTCCAGTCCCTGGGCAAGTTATGTTTTCGGGGTCACAGCCCGGACTGAACAAAACCAAAAACTGATCTTATTCATCCTGTACCTACTGGACTAATATACAATATATAATAACACACTAATAACGAATGATCTTAAAAGAAAGAAAACGATGCACATCCAGAAGTTATTGGTGTTGTCCACTACAAATCGGTAAAGGTAGCGAAATCAATTTTGTGCACATTCTGTAGTCCAAGCTAATTTATTAACTCTTATCAATGTTTCAGCAAACACAAACCTTCATCAGAACATACTGTATACTTTTGATCAGGCAAATATTTGATAAAAGCAAGGTTTTAAAAAGGAAGCCCTTTTTATGAAAGATCGCCATCGTTCAGAGAGGTAGTAATATTAACAATATACTGTCCTTCTAAGGAAGACATTGTTTTTTTTTAATTCAGTACTTTATCACCTCAGTTAGACACTGAAATAAGATTTTGAGGCTTCTTCTATGAACAGAAGCTGACTAAAGTACAATTCTAAGATGGATCTACTTCTGAGATAAAAATGTAGTTTTTGACAACCCTAACCCTAAAACAATGGTTTCCCCAAATGGAATTCTGAAAGAATTCTTGCTTTAACATAAGATTTGTCTGGACAAATGTGCCTTCCCTGATGAAGGCTTGTGAATGCTGGAATGTGGACAAGTTACAAATTAACGTTGGAGTGGAGAGAGCTTTTAGCCACTCAAAACACGGAGTGTGCCATTCTCTTTTACAGGTCGATCATTCACACAGAACGATCTGGTCTTTTTTCCATGCGGTGTTCAAATTCAAATACTAGTGATACGTCTTTCTCACAAATCCATAAACAGTATCAGATTTTGTTCAATGCTATGTACTGTATCTAAGAACTATATAGACAGAATCCCTTTTGTGTAACATGCAAGTTATAAGGCTAAGGCGTTTTGCATAGTGTGCTTAGCAATTTTTGTTCCCTAGTTACTAGTGTTGAGTGATAAGGAGCTTTATCCTTAAATAGAAAAAGAAGCCATGCATAAATGTATCTATTAAAGAGCACGGTGTACTGCAACAAGCTCAGGTCCCATATTGCTAAATGCAAAGTATGCAATGGTTATTGTTAAATCAAAATACAGCTAGATATTTTTCATTTAGTGTATATATATTTATTTTTTTTTACAGAAAAGCTATCATGTGCCAAAGAGGAGAACTTGGGAATGCACCAAGTTTTGGATCAAACACTGCAGGAACTGAACAGCTTATAAAAAGCAACGACAGCCCACGAAGGAAGAGAGAAATGAGCGTCATTCCATGGATATTCAATTTCATTCCCCATTTTCAAGCACCAAATCTCCCAATCCCCTCTCCCCAAGAAAATAGGGTCTAAAAAGTGAATGTTATACGTGTATCTGCAGTGTTTTTTTTTTTAAAGACCATGCTTTCCTTTTCTTGTCTGTCTCTTTCACAGAACTTTCCAATTCATTCTGGTTTTCCCCCCTCCCCCAAACCCTCAGTCATGATAACAAAGTTCTGTTTCATGTTTTTATCTGGGAAAAAACGAATTTGTTTGGGAAAAAAACTTAGGTTTACAAATCCACAAGTTGCAGGCACAGTTCAAACACACCTGGGATGCGTTGAGCACACGGTGTGAGAAAAGAGGCCAGTTCTTTGAAAGAAGTGATCGTTTTCAGACTGCGCTGTGAAGAAACCATCTCATTGCAGACAGGAGAGCAGAGAACTCAGGAGGAAAGCAGGAGATGTGGGAAAGGAGTAGGTCTGTGTTGAGCTGGTAAAAAAAACAAGAACCGTCTTTTTTTAATACTGATGAAGTCTTACCAATTTTGTTTGGATGCTTTTAAAAATTGTTTTCCATGTGTTAGTCAAAATGTGATAATGTCATGCATTAGTGTTGTAACAACGGTCTTAATCCATTTTCATGGAACAAAAATGTGAACTTTGTGGTTCAAAGTTGTATTTGAAGATCATTTCAGTCATCTGTAGCAAGAGCCACCCTTTTTTCTGCTGTTTCAGATGGTTAAAGTGCCATTTTCTCATTTGTTCAAGAAAATTTGTCTAAATATAGGCTTCCCAGTTTGTGGCCCGAGAGCTCCAGCTGTACTTTCCCTTACTTAATGTAACCCTTAATGGAGGACAATTTGCTTAATTTAGTGTTTTTCCATTATTTTCAATTGCTAAAAAATGATCAAGGCCAGAATATCAGTTATAGTCCAAGTGCCAGGTCAATGAAGGGGATTAATTAGGTAATGAGGAGCTCAGCTGGAGACAATGGAACCAGCAGGAATGGGCAGATCTGGGTTTTGGACTTGTTCCTGATTTGCTTAACAACCTCCCGGTGTTTTAATGTAAAAATAATCCCATAAAAATTACATTGGCTACATTATGGGATTCCCAGCAGAGCAGCAAAAGATGCAGTGCCTGTGTACAGGCAAAAGACACAGCCAGTGTATATGTTAGATTGACATTACTAATTAACATTGAGCATTCCATTTCTACACTCTTATTACAGATTATTCTGGATGGAGTGTCTCTGAACCAAAGTATATGCATAGTGCATTATTGTACCAGGAAAAAAAACACTCTTCATTTACGTATTTTGTCTTATGATGCTTTTTTTGTTAACAAAGTGAGGATGGCCTTCATGTTCTGGGCCTTAATACAAGTACCTCACATTTGCCTCACTAAATCTGTATTGAAATACTTCACTTTCTTAGCTTTAAATCTAATAAATTTTTACAAAACGGTGTCTTTGTTGGTCTTTGTTTTTTCTTCCCACTTTGCTGCTTGTGTATTTTACACACCCGGGTGTCTGCAAGGTACTTCACCTCTTCAAGACAACGAAGAGACCTGAAGGTTTAATCTGGAGTTGAAATTCTTCCAGCAGTTCCTTTGGTAGCAACTCTCTTCTAATATGTTACTGTTGTTCAGGCGCAAATGTGTTCAATGTACATGTTTGAAACTATTTGTGTTAAGACAGCTGTGAGTTTCCTCCCCAGGTCTAAGTATTAAGACAGCCTGAAAAATGGAAGCCATATGAAATTTATACCATTAGAGTTCCTCTTGAGAAAAGGAACATAAATATACAGCACAGGGAAAATAACATACATACCTGCTTTCTCTCTATAAAATATATTGATGCTTTGTAAGCAAAAAGGTATTCCAGCAGTTAACATCCCTGGATATCATTTTAGGCTTTGTTGCCGAGGTAAAACGTGACATCGTTGTTGTGTATAATATGTAACAACGCCTAGCCTTTTCAGTACCAGTTATTGTGAGGTCTGGACTGGATTTTATTCTTTTTTTCCGATCTTCTGATTTAATATTTGTTGCGTAGAAAGCTGCTATTAGCCGCTTACTTACTGTACCTCGGCTTCGTTAAACCACGACCGGAGCGGAAGGCGCTGGTGCTTTCCTGCCCTCTAGTGGCCAAACTTGAGTTGCGTAGCTATCCTAAACATTTAAGGAGTAGTTGAAACATACCGGTCTACCGATCGTCTCATTTTCAGGCGAGTGACCCTTGAAAGAGGCTAAACTGCCAAAACGTTGTTACTTCTTTATACTTTTCGTATAATTAACCTTCACCTAATGTTTGCAGCCAACGCACGCTGCCATACCTCACCACACGAAGGTCTAGTGTATAAGGTGTATGCATTTCTAGTGAATTTCTTTGTCTACGCTGTGTCTTGCGTATTTCTTTGTAACTATTATTACAAAGAAAATTGAAACCAATCATAATCTGAGACTTTTTAACTGGAGTATATTATTTTACATCACACATATATAATAGTACATTGCCAATTGGAGTACAACAAGCAAGCTAAGTTGGTTGATTACTCTGGAGTGAAAGGTAAGGGTTCAAATCCCAGGCAAAATGCTTCTGGTTCTTCCAGTAAATATGCTGTACAGAGCCTGATTCTGCTTATTGCTGTGAATCTGTTTTTCTCTATTGACTTAACTAGTAAATTAAAACACAGATACTTAAGAAGGGGTCAGGACCTCCAGCTGAATTTAAGACACTGAGCTTTTATTGGAAGAAGTATATTACAGTAAGAACTTAATTCATAGAAAAGGTCCCTTAAAATGAAGACTTACTGTAAAAACAATGCTTTCTTTATGATACCTTCCGATTCTACGACAGATTTATATTTAAGTTACTGTGTAGGGAGAAGCATTTTTAACTCTGGTGTGCATGTGGTTTGTGCACGGCTCTGCTTCTGGACACTACAGCCCCCACTGAAATCAGCCGGCAGTGAGAGGAACCTCCACCATCCTCAGTCCACCCCCATCAAGCAGAGTACTGCTCACGTCAGCCTGGCAGTCCCCGGGCGAGCTGGAGACAGGGACATTCACTTTTCGTCTTTCTTCAGGCGTGATGGGAACGTACTCAGTGTTGCTTTCTCCTGAACGAGCAGCCTGGAGGACAGGAAATGAAAATGGGGGAGATTTCGAATTACAGCTCTTGTTTTGCGAGGGGGGGGGGGGGTTAGACCTACCAGGAAGCTGCCTTGGTCAAGAACGGCCCCAGATTTCTATTTCCTGTTCCGAGCAGTAACCCCGACTACAGCTCGGCAGGTGAAAAGGGGGTTACCTAGCACATACTCAGAATCCCGTTCGGCAGTCAGCCAGAGTTACACTGCTGTCCATGTATGACTGCCACCTAGCGGACTAAAATAAAGACACAATATGCCTAAAAATCCTAAATTGCCAGACTACACAGCTGTAGCCAGCGTACAAAAGGGCCAGATTGAAAACTGAGAAGCGTTGTGTGCTGTCCAAGGAGTGACTCTTAAGACAAGAGTCTCCAAGCCTGGTACTAGAGAGCCCCAGTCCAGATAATCTTACAGCAGGTCATGCATTTACAACCACATCAAACACCAGTGAGATGCTGATTAATTAACAACGTGATCTGTTCCTTTAGGAGAGTTCAGTGTGGTCCCACATGATCTCTAAAAGAATCAGTTGAACAAATCATCTGTTTGACTGCCCACAGTGAAATTGTTCCAAGTCTTTCCAAACTGGTGATTCGGTACTGGCCTATAACACCTGGACTGGGGGCAGAGCTGGTGACCTCCACTCTAGAGGAGAGAAGATCAAAGGAGAGACAAGATCTTGATGTCTGGAGTTGTCAGTCAAGTGGGACTGTGCACAGACCCCCAGCCTTGCTGCCAGGAATATAACACTAAAGCAAATTGTCTGTCTAGCATTGTTAGCCCCAGTGCAATACCACAGAAACAACGCTTTAGACAATGTACCAACTCAGGAGGGTAATGAAAAGGTATCACAGTCTGGCGAGTAGGCTATTGGACATGCACCCTGAAGAGGAAGATATTAAGATTTCTTCCTAAAACGGCTCCCTTCCTACCTTCTGTCAGGCGGCACTTTCCTCCTTTGGGTTGACACAGGACGTAGGAGCACCCAGCGCAGGGCACCACTCTCTGTGCGTGGCTGAACACCGTGGTGATCCTGTAGCAGCCTGTCGCGTGGGTGGGGGGGGGGACAGGAGGACACGCACCGTTACAACACGCACGCCAACCCCACGGGCATCACCATCGCCGCTACACCGGTGCGCCGGGAGAAAAAAAACGCACCGTAGCTGCAGCCAAGTCAACAAAAAAAAAAACCCCAACAAAAACACCGGACACGGCACTGCGAGCTGGCTCAGCGCTAGCTTACTCCTTGCGGGGGTCATTTTCCGAAACGTGTTTCTCGTCTGCTCCCCTGAGCGGGAGCTGTAAACCGGTTCGAGGCGCAGGGACAGCACGGCGGTGGAATAGGGTGTTTTCACACCGGCGAGCGGGCGGAAATCTTCCTACCTGGACACTTGACGTCCATGAAGTAGGAGTTGGGGCTCTGCACCAGTCTCTTCTTCTTGTGCCTCCTCTTCTCCACCTCGTAGAGGGGGTGCATCAGGTCGGTGGCGAGCTGCGACAGGACAGCCATTTATTTACACAGGAAGCCACTTACAGTACAGTAGGTCACAAATTCACAATTTGTATTGAAATTGGTCAGTCGCCAATTTCAATTCAAATAATTGTGTAAAAAAATCATCTGAATGCATCTGGTAACGCATGGATCTTTCCCGAATAATATAAGCTAAAATTGAGTAACCCATCAGTAATATGCCTTTTTGTTAACGAGACTCGTTGTTATCTAGATAATATATGATTGTTTATTGTGTTTATTAAACTACTATTTGCTATGGCATATGTTTTCTCAGCGTTTTGGTGAAAAATATTAACAATGGGCAAACTTGATTTCGTTTATTCCGTGTGTCAGACGTTGCAAAAGATAACATGTGCCGTTCATGTCTGAAAGGCAAGCTTTCAAGCTTTCTTATGTATTGAGTTTCAGGTACGTAAAATACCATGGCAATAGCAGCTACAAATGACCTGCTCCCTCTAGTGCTTAAAGTTCAGAATTGCAATAGAATCGCTTGTCTGCTATGCTGTTCACTAGACATGTCCAGACTTGTAAAACGACACCAATTTACATTGCAATATATCATTGCTATTAGAATGATCTTGGATGCATTTTGTTTCTGCGACAGTGGTAATTTACAAAATACAAAATATATTCCCCACATCTACCTAATAAAAAACAAGTTAAATAAAGCAATCACATCTGTCGTTCGGTACATAGCTGTCAAAAACTAATGCTAAACTAAAGCAATGTCTATTTTGTTCTGCAGTCAAAGTAGATACATTTAGAAGTTTTAGGCACATTTGTACACTTATAAATCGACTAAGTTCATTCACTGAATGGTCTTACATTTTGAATAAACCTCGGAGTTTGTAGCCTACTGATTTTGACTATTTCAGCAACGCGGTAGACTTCTCAAGATACGCAACTAAAGCAGTTTAGATTGCTTGGATGTGGTTATCTCGATTATTAATTATTCAGTTATTTAAATGCAGCAGCACGAATTGTTAGACAGTCGATTCCCACATTAAAAGTAGCGAATCGCTTAAAGCTGTAATGCTGAAACTTACCGGCATCGTTCTTTAATTTGGACTTTTTTCCCCCTGGTTTGTCTTCTTTAACAGTGACGGACTGATTCACTAATAATACCTATGACAGCCAGCAAGTGCTGTATTGTATGGGGATTATTGCAAACGCCTGTATTTTCTTGAAATTTCCCCGCCTCCTCGGGGTGGGGGTTATATGAACTACGTCATATTTGTATAAACGCAGTTTGCAGAGTGATGTTTGATGTATCCTTGTGTAACAAGTTAAAGCCAACTTCAGATTTTCTTGCGTCTATGAACTTGAATAAAGCGCTCTCGGGGTAATCCATAAATCGCGCTACTTGTATAAACTAACAAACGACAGCATTTTAAAAATCAAGAATTTATATAAACTTTATAATGTACAAGAAGCGTCCTTTTCACGGAACCATGCTTTTGTTACGTGAAAAAAAAAACCTGCACCTCAAATCCAATTATAATATTCTTAATGTATTAAGCAATCGTTTAGATGTTTAATTTTATTGACCCATCAAAATACCACAGGCGCTAAGCTGACAAGAAACTACAGGAGGAGATTTGAAATGGGGTTCGTATCAGTGGCTCATATCAGTATGGGCACTGTAATCAGGAGAACGCCTCTCCTCAGTATAGCTGTTCTTGCACTGACAACCGGCATTCAGAATACATTTCTGCTCGCCTATAGGGCTCAAGTGATTTACGTGCTGTACTTTTAATCTCTCTGCGCATCTACACGTTTTTACAGCTCTTTGGACTCTGGTCGCTTTTCAATTCCCAAAACGAGGAAGTCCTGGCTGTGGTATTATTCAGTAGTATTTAACTTATGCAAAGGTGTGAAGAAAAGCAGATCTGATGTCGAGATTGTATCTCGTTCTAAAAACTGCCACTGAAGGAGTTTAAGCAAAAAAAAAAAAGCATGTTACAAATTGGTCAGCGCTATCAGGGTTTATGAACATCCAAAGATTCACAGGTTCCCCAAAACACAAAGCAAATGTATAATTGAGTAAAATCAACAATCTTGGGACAGTGGATGTGTTCTTCAGAACTGGCGGCTCGTCGTTTATAATTACCAGTAGCATGCATTAAAACTTTTAAGATTTTTAGTTTCATGATGCATTTTGAAATGGGTCTTCATCATAATAGCTCCCCCAGCCACAGACCGTGGAAACACTTTGATCTATACTAACACAGTACCTAAGCACATCCTCAAAACCTGCACTCCTAACTTTCCTTCAAGGAGCTGGGGGTGGGCGTAGCCGGAGCCCGGCTGCACAATCAGAATTCCCCTTAGGCTTGATTGACGTCAGCCTAACCCCGACTTCCGGAGCCACGACGACGGGGAGGGGCTTCCCTGTGAGTGACGCGCCACCTAGTCAATCAGGGGCCGCGGTTGTCCGGATTGGCGTTTACGCAGCTCCCGCAGAGTGCCGGGCGGGATTTCCGCAATCGCGAGTAATATGGCGAAGACTTACGATTACTTGTTTAAACTACTGCTAATCGGGGATTCGGGAGTTGGGAAGACCTGCGTTTTGTTCAGATTTTCAGAGGATGCCTTTAACTCAACGTTTATCTCCACTATAGGTAGGTCGGCGTTTGCGGTGAGCTCCTCTGGTCGGGTAAATTGGAAAGGGGGGGTTGGCTGTATGTTACTGCGCTGAGACAACCCCAGTGCAATCAGCCCTGTAGCTATAGCAGTCCGCAGAATACACCTCATGTCGGGCATGAAATGAAAGAAAAACATCCTAAAAGTTGTACTGCGTGCCCTTGCACGCTGTGCGTTATAACGCGACACTTGATTGTAAGGTAGTGAGCAGCAGGGTCTTGGTTCAGTTATAGTTTTGTAGATATACGTGTTATGATGGAGCACAAAGGTCTTGGTATTTCCTTATGCGGTGGCTCCGTGGTATTTAGGCTGTGAACTATAATCTATATTTATGCAGTTTCCTCGGCTAAATTGGGACGCGTTTTTCGCGCAGTGTTTGAACACATGCTCGTTTGTGTAAGACCCCGCAGTTTTTTTTTTAAAAAACGAAACGTTAGCGCTCTAAAAACTTGCTGGAGCTAACTTTATAGGAAGTATTGTGAAGTGTCTATCCGGTTTCATTTTTTATCGCCCGGTGGCGGCCCGGCAGACTGCAGGCTGCGGAAACGCAACTTCTTTGGGGGTTAATTCTTATCTCGCCTCCGGGCTTTGTCAAGTACGTTCTGCCTGGACGTCTGTGATACGACATGGACAGTATCTGGGTCCTCGTCTGGCTGCCGTGGAGCTGTTACAAAATAAATGCATGTAGGAGAGTTGAAATAGCATCATCCCCCCCGAGCTCACTTCGCTGTTTTTATAGCTTCCTAAAAAGGAGATGGATCTTGTTAGTGTCGAACGGAGGAGACTCCGAAGGAACCTCATACACGTATTCAAAACCCCCCCAAGGGCACTGACTGTCAGTTTCTTCAGAATGAACCGTGAAACTCGAAACGCGGGATACGAGTGGGAATCTACGTGGCAGTTCGTTTAAAAACAAGAACAAGAGGCACATCTTTACCACAAGGGTTGTGGGAGTGTGGAGCACACACTGTGGTTGAAGCCAGTAGCCTGGCTGCTTTCAAGGAACAGCTGGATGAGATGCTTGGATGAATTAGCTGCTGACTGTCTAAGGGAACCTTTTTTATGTTCTTAATTGTTGCGTCTCTGGAAAAACAAGATGTTGATGCACCGCTACTTTTTCTACAAGATCAGAAAATGTGGTTATTCTATATTTATCAAGTTTCTTTTCTGGTGTGCTGGAGTACACTGGAGATGGATTAAAAGGGGTGGAGGGGCTCTGTTTTTTCATTTCTACCTCCCTGCTGACTGTATTTTTAAGACCAAGAACAGAGGGGTCACGTCTTTACCCCCAGAGATCTGAACAATTAGAAAATGGACTACATGCGCCTCTAGTGAGTTTAGAGCTGTTGTGTACGCTCAGCAATTTAGTTTTTTTTATTTCAAACTATTTACACTTTCCTTCTCCTCAGATGTGTTGTGCTTAGTTGAAGGCCAGTGTAGTCCCCTTGGGCTTGGTACAATGAGGCAGTTTATGCGTATTCTAATTTGAGAAAGGCTTGTCAGTTCCCTCAAAAAGCTGTTGCATCAAAAGTTCTGTCATACTTTTGTTTCTCATTTAGCCAAAGGGACTGATGCTCAGCGACAGCCCTCTGACTGAGAGGATGTTGCCCAGCAACACAACAGAGCAACACAAGGCTCTGCTGCGATATCCTCCTCCTGACCTCGGCACACCCAGCTTTTATCTTCCCGGGTTTATTCAGAGCCTGGTAGGCTCACCTGATTGTGTACAAGACTGAAACAAAGTCCTCTTCCTCTCAGCGAAGGAAGGAACCAGGGCCAAAGTAAAACATCTTTCCGGAGAAAGTTAAGTAGAAGAGGCCTAGATACTGCTGGACAGGAGGAAACTAGAGCAGGCTGTCTTCGGAAAACCTTGACGATGACCGAGTTTGGTTTGGTATTATCTGCTGTCATCCCTGCAAGCCGCTTTCAAGAACTGATGTATATTTGTAGGTGTGAGTGACTGCGATGTGGACTTCCTTCCTATCTCAAGGCCTGAGCAACATCAAACATGAAGTCTAGCCTTCCTTTATGGCCCTGGGGAGATCACCAAGATTGTCTTTTGCATTCAGTGATGCTGTTTATGAATACAAGTCCTAAATCCTATGAGTTTTGTTTTTCGTACAAGCACATTCAGGCAATAGGTGCCATTCCCAGAGGAAACTTGTTCATTAGATTGGTGTTTCTCTTTTGGTCATGCTAATAAACCCCTTGAAGGGTTATTACCATTTTCATCGCTTTAAGTAACGATCACATCACACCTGCTGGCAGGCGGTTCCAAAACGTGCCTTTCTTAAGATTAGGTATGGCAACAGCGCCGTCTTTGCCCATTGAAAGTACCTTTTGGAAAGGAATGCATGCTTGTTCCAAGCACGTGTTCTTCCATGATGATGTCATGTATTAAGAATACCTCCCAGAATCCTTTGTTCCCACCCTGGGGCCACACAGATGACACCAGTAGCAGGCTCACCGCCTGGTATGGTGACCACACTGAGGAAGGTGGAGTAGACACTACGAGGGCTTTATCTTGCTCTGACCTCTGGATAAATCTTCTTACCCTATGGCTCAGATCAGGTGTAGTTTCTGTCCTTCTCAGTTTGGTATCTGATAGGCCAGCTATGTGGGGGCTGCGTCTTAAATGGATGTTCAGTATGTGGAGCTGGATCAGGGGCATGCCTCTTCCTCGTAGCCAGTAGAACAGGTTTTATATTCCTGATATTGTATACAATCAGATGAACAACTAGGCTATTAATAGATCAAGGAAGAGTGGAGTAATGTATAGTGAGGATGCAGCAGGGTTTTGTGTTCCTGTGTTGTGTTGCTGGGCAACATCCTCTCAGAGCAGTGTTGCTGGGCATCAGCTCTTCAGCCAGTTCTGCACGTGCAGCAGTTTTGAGCTCGTTATGCTTGAGGACTAAGTACTCTTTACATATACGGCAGCTGATATATAAATTCCACCCTCTTTCAGGAGGAAGAAACTGCAGTGAGAAGTAGGGATGACGAGCGACGCATCTTTCCGCCTTCTCCGATGTCCTTGTTTTAGTTCTGATTTTCCGTGTTTCAAACTTCCCATTTGGGCATTTCACAGAGTTTTCCTTTGTTGTAGCACGTGCGTGTATTGCCAAGATGTTTGCAGGGATTGTTTTCCTGAGCTCTGCGCCAATCATTCTTCGTTTTGGCTTAAAGGTCATGTGCAGTGAACATCGCTACAGGTGGAAAGTCTTATTGAGGGTGTCCCAGGCTGAATGTACCAGTTTTTAATGTATTTCTAGCCAAAATTTCTAGTCAGCCTGGAGCGACCTATGGTATGAAGTATACCTCTCTGTTTCCGACAATGTGCTGCCTGCTGGAAATGAGTCATCTTTGTTTTCCCTAATGGCAGGAGACGTATTGTGTAATTCCCAGCTGGGGACAGCAGGCAGCAGAGATCAGGTGGCATTCTGCATAGTCAGCACAAGAGTAAAAGGAATACAAGCCATGAGTTCATGGGACCGGGGGCACAGAAGCTTGGAATGATCAGGGCTCATAAGAGTTTTACAAAGTGGTGGTTTAAGAGCCTTTAGCCTGGAAGGCATTAAATTGAGCCCCTTGTTTGACTGCTGTGAACAAGTGACGATAAGTGATCGCTGTTGCTTGTGAGGCTGCAGGAGGAGCAGCTGTGTGGGGTGCAAAGATGAAGAGCATTAACTACAGCTGCATGGGTCTGACTGCAGCTGTGGGTGAGACAAGGACAGCTCTTTGTTGCAAAGGAGGAGGGAAAGTTGAAAAGTGTTGGCAAGACCCGTTTTAGTAAAAAACGTGACCATACTGGAGGATTGACTTAAAAACCTCAAGAAAACCCTGATCGCATTCCTCTCTTTCCTGCTCAGAGGGGTTTTCCCGGTATGCTCATTTCAGGACTGTTGTTTTCTTTCTTATTCCAGGATGCTATCTTTGTCTTGTGTTGCTGTTTGCTTACTGTGATCCCCTGCCAGAAGATTAAGCTTTTCCATTTTCTTACTGTCTTCTAGGTATTGACTTTAAAATTAGAACAATAGAACTAGATGGGAAGAAGATTAAGCTACAGATATGGTAAGTTTTGTGTATGTTCCATATTGACACATAGCCTTCAGTATTCATCCACTGATGAGTCTCTCTCAATAGGAATGAACTGCAATTAAAGGTGTAAGTGAGTTTATATTAAAAGAATACCATTAAGCCCAGGTTCAGAGGTGACGTGCAGATAAGTGGTTTAATTGATGTGGTTGCACTTTCTCTTGAATTTGTTTAAACAAGTGCTTAGTGACATATCACAATGTCAAAATTGCATAAGCTATGAAATGGAATAGAATATTCTAAAGAGAGTTTCACACCTTGCCTTCAGCTGGTGTGTGCAGTCCTTATATTTACTGTTCACTAGCTGTGGTTGAAAATGCATAAACCAAAACTGTTCAGTCGCTTTTAAGATTGCATTCACCTCTATTCATGAAGGTGAGACCATCACTCCCCTTTGAAATACTCGGTAAAAATCAACAGTGTCCAATCTTTTCAACCACTTTGTGGGGGGGGCATGACTTTCAGAGGCTGAGAAGGTCACAAACTAATGACCTTGCTGACTAGCCACCTTGCTGTTTGATCACTGTTTACAAGTGCATTAGAACCAAGGTTTGTTGTTCAGCCTCTTGTTGACAGACCACAGTAGGAACCCAGTCATCCGTTTTTAATTTAATGGTGTTTCTGTGCAGCTGTCCTGACTAGCATCTGGCACTGTCATGAGTTGTCCTTTTGGTATGAAAACAGGAGGAGACATTTTACATTTACAGTGAGCTTTGTCGCAGGGAGACATAGCACGGAGAAGTTACGTGCATCTGCTAAAGTGTCTGGCTCAAGCTCAGCTGAAAGAGGGCGTCCCGCAACTTCGAACAGGCGTGTTGGAAGTGGGAGGGAAGCACTGCCACTCTTTGAATGGAATAACAATTGGGTGCTAACCTTAATTAGAAGTTTCTTGATGAAACCGGACTAAGGAAGGCATGCTTTAGTTATGTCGAAACCCATTGTAGGCTGTTGCAAAGAAGAAATAAAGTGTACCTTTTTGAATTTGAAGGTTTCCTTAATTGCCCCTGATATCGTTGCGTCAGCTATTGTGTGCGACATACACCCCAGGCACATAGCTATGTTAATTGATCTTGTTTTGAAAATGGTTTATTTTGCAGGGATACAGCAGGGCAGGAGCGATTCCGAACCATCACAACGGCTTACTACAGAGGAGCCATGGTGAGTAACGATGCAGAACATTTAAGACTTGGATCACCTTCAAGTGTGACTACCTTTGATTCGTATGTGTGTGTACATATATAAGGGAACAGAAAAAACATGAAATGACAATTAAGCTCATCTTAGGTGCGAGTCATTTCTGCCTTTTGTGATGTGTTAGGTATACTGTAGATACCTGGGGTATGTTTAGCTACCTTGTACATCTTGAATCTCCAAATACTCTGTAAATCTGTAGTTTTGTGCAGCTGTGCTCCCCTTCCATCTGTGCTTCTAACACCACATTTGCTCTGCTATTTTTCAGAGATAAACTCTGATTTATATCTGGGTGATGCATCCTGTAGTGAATTTTTTTAACAAAAGTGTGATGCATGACATTTCTGGGTATTTGCTAAATTATTTTCTAAAGATGTATTAGAATGTATTTTTTCTTTATATAAACTGATGTAAGTGTAAAACAGTATTTTCACAGTTTTTAATTGCTTTCAGAAATTGCACCACCATCATGCAATCACTGTAATGAGCTTTGCTGTTTAGTCACCTTTAATCTCGAGTATGAGAATTGCTTACTGCTGAGAGTGAAAACATTGGTATTCACACTTGTTTTGTGGAACTATTTTTTCTTCCTTTGTCAAAGTGAATATTGAATGCTTTTTATAGCTCTTAATATTTGTGATCCCTGAAACTGAATTCCAGATTATGACCTTACTACAGTCATTTAGATCTGTAATTTAAAAGATTATCTGTTATCTGTTTTTCCTGTACTTCCAGGGCATTATGTTAGTATATGACATCACCAATGAGAAATCATTTGACAACATCAAGAACTGGATACGGAACATTGAAGAGGTGTGCTCACTTTTGAGATTTCGTTTTCTGACCTGTAATTTACAGTTTCACAATGTAGTCTCCTTCGATCTGTTCTCAAGTTAGAGCTTCAGTGCAGAGCTGTTTTTTACTTGCAAAATTGCCAAGTATTGTTTCAACTCGTCGTTCCATGTGTCTGGATTTGTCTTTCCATGTGTGTGAATAAAGACGCTCCTGAATGGTTCAACCAGTAAAGGCACTTGGAGTGCAGGTTCAGCTCTATATCCCTGATGTCACTAGTATGAGCTCAGGGCAGGTGTGTCATTAGCCAACTGTAACTGGGATTCCCTTCATTTAGTGATACACAGCTGGTTGTGTGCTGCTTAGGTCTGGTTGGCATAGCTGTAACTTGCTGATCTGCAGGCTTAAGGTAGCATTTGGGAGAAAAGTGCTTCTCCACCAGTTAGTGCCAGTTGCTTCGTAGCCAGCAACATATTAAAAAAGGTGAATGGCTTTGGAGGGTGGGTGTGTTGGAGGAGCATGTCCGTATGTCTCACTCTTTCTCCAATGAGTATGGGAGTTGGTCCCTAACAGCTGAGTCTTGCACTGTTCCAAATAATCATGAATAAAAAGTTAATATTTTGGAATCATGAACCAGTGAAGTGGCAAGAGGTATTTTGATCTTGTGCATTCCCCAAAAAATGTATTCACCGTAGTGACTCCTTTTAATTGATACAGCATGCGTCGGCGGATGTGGAGAAGATGGTTCTGGGAAACAAGTGCGATGTCAACGAGAAACGGCAGGTCTCTAAAGAACGAGGAGAGAAGGTAAAGACGAGATGAAGGCTCGGACTGTCTGTAACTCCCAGAAACTGCAGGGCATGCAAAAGATTAGCTTGAAGTGATGAGCAGAATTCAGATTAATTTTCCGGCTTAATGGAATAAACATTGAAAAGAAATGTGTTTTGCTTTAGTTAATTCTGGCTTCCTCTTTTATCAGTTGGCGTTGGAGTATGGGATAAAGTTCATGGAGACCAGTGCAAAGGCCAACATCAATGTGGAAAATGTGAGTGAAGCTGACTGGTTTCTAAGTCATTTCTTGATAAAATGTCTTGACTGTTAAACAGTAGAGTTTTGGGAATGGTAAGAACATTAAGGTCAAATGTTAACACAGCCGTTAAATTACGTTTGAAGTTCACGCTGTTTCAGATTGGATTCAAATGCTTTTTTACTGTTAATAATGACAGTTTTGCCAACTTCTGCTGCACTAATTTACAGCACACCCTAGTGAAGGGAAAAATTCAGGTGTCACTGATGTATTACTGTGGTTGACAGCACAATGTTTATTTCTTTTAGGCGTTTTTAACACTTGCCAGAGATATCAAAGCAAAAATGGACAAGAAATTGGTAAGAGCATCCAAACCCATCTTTTTTTCTAACTGTTTTTCCACTTCAGCTGGAATATAAATGGCATTTCCAGTTGACATTTTTTAAGATGCTGCATCTCAGAACCCTCAAGGAACCTGTGGCAGCCAAGAAAAGGGACAAAGCAGGTGGCTGAGATCAAGAAAGGCAGGGATAGTCAGTCATGTTTAATTGGTAATCACTTGAGGCCGCCTAATTTTAGGTGGTGCCCGTGTCAAGGGTGTTTACAGTTGATGAAGTAAAAGGCAAAATTTCCTATAAATATACAGTAAATGCAGGCAAAAACACAAAAGAAAATTCTGAAAGTGATATAGGAGTTTGTAGTTTTATTCCCGAGTTCTAGAAGTTTGTAAAAGGCGAATAAAGCATAGAAACCAAAGCTACTCTGAGGAGGTGCCTTTGTTTTTTCAAAGCAAAATGCTTTCTCTTAACTGAAGAAAAACCAGTTGATTCCACTGAAAGTGAAGTCTGCCTCTGAGTGCGGATACGGTGCTTTTGAGATGACAGCCCCGTTTCCTGGAGAGTGGTGAATTGTGCCAGGAGCTGTGTGGAGAGAGGAGGGGTTTTGACCGTGTGATTCTGTCCATTTCAGGAGGGGAACAGCCCCCAAGGCAGCAACCAGGGAGTGAAGATCACCTCAGATCAACAGAAGAAAAGCAGTTTCTTCCGATGTGACCTGCTGTGAGGACCATGGCCTTACTGTCCGCCCCCTGGTGGCCGGACCGAACTGGACTGTGCTTTTTTTGCTCAGAGCGCGCTCTCTCTCCCCCTCTGGCTCTATTGCTGTCTCCTTTTCTCCGTGGGCTCGCCCCCCCCCCCCATCCTCCGCACCTGTCCTACCCTTCCGCGTAGCGGATGGCCGCACAAGACCCTCCTCTTCGTTTCCTGACCTGACGGGTTTTTGCTCTTTATTTTCTTCTCCAGCCATGGGGGGGGCTGGGGGGCTGATCTAAAGCAGATACGAATTCTGTCAACTGCCTCAGGCCGGGTGTGATGGCCTCCTGTTGATTGGTTTCCCAGCATTCCTCAACACCAGAGTTCTTTTTTTTGCACGTTTCTGTTTTAGCATCCTGCGTTCGTGATCTTTTGCCCCTTAGCATTTACACCTCCACCAAAGTTCACTGAGGTCTGGAGCAGAGTTGCATATGATTAGAGATGGAGAGATAATATCTCTGAGCCACACTGGATGAGATGATTCCATCATATTAGACCGTTGTAATTTTTTAGAAATGGCCAGCAAAGATCGAACTAACCCAGCTAATCTGCTTTAAGAATAGAGTGGCTTACCAGACGTTTTTTTCCATAATGAGTTCTTACATTTTGAATGAATCAATGCTGGCGAACATTGTAATGTGTAAAATTGTCATTCTCTTTTTCATGATTGGAAGTGTTAGGCCATTTTAGTCATTGCAAGGTACACGTTTTTTTTTAAAAAGATTCTATGCCCCAGCGTAATAGCTTGTGGCCTCCAAACCGGTTTAGACCTTGGGCTGGGATTTTCTCTGCCGTATCTTCACCAGAGGTGTTTGCAGAAGTTGTTCTTGATGATGCATAGTTATCACTGGGTGCTGCTTTTTTAATCTCAAGTTGGCACAGGAGCTCTTGGCTCAGAAGCCTGGAGCAAAGCAGGGTTCGTTGTATACATTCCTCGACAATCTTTAGTCGTAAAACGTTTTGTTTATCAAACGTCAATCGCCTACATCACATTTTGTCATTTAAAATGGTGTTTTCAAGTGTCATTTCACCGCACTTCTATCACCTTAAAAAAGAATTTTATGCCCACTGACTTGAAACTTAAGTCTCTTTTTTTTTTTGGGAAATCAAGTTTACATTCCATGTGTTCACTGAAGTTGAGTTATTGAAGGATTTTTTTTTACTGCCTGCCAGGTCTTAATTATTTCATAGTGGAGACTGAAATTGCGTTTTTTGATAATGAAACTTAATACAATTTTTCCGTCTTTTTTTCTTTCCAATGGTTATTGTAGCTTTTACCACTCACCACTGCTATTCGGATTCTTGGGTTGCTTCAGATTGCTCCCTTGTAGGACGCCGTTTAATTTATTACATGTGATCGAAGTGTTTTTTTTTTGCCTTACCATGTATAAAGTTGAGCGTACTGCAGGATCACACCATAGGCCTCCAACAGGCAACAGAGCCCTAAAGAGTCTTGACCAAAAAGCAGTGTGGGAACTCGGATATCAATGTAGATGCATGGAGTTAAAGTGTTTTTATCATCAATATGAGTGCAGAACCTTAACCTGCATTCCACAAGTTAGGTCAGTGCTTGTTTTGCAGACCACTTTCTTACAACCGTTAGCAAAAGAAAACAACCTTTCCTTGGCTTTTCAGGTGCGCATCTGTGTTTCTTCCCTTGTCCACTTTATCTGTACTTGCACTCCTGATGCTTCTTTTTTTTTTTAAAGCCAAGTATTCGTTTTGAAAGCGCTGAATTGGGGAAATGTTCACTTTGGGTTTTGATCTAAATATATTGAAATCAGCCAGTATCCCCGGGAATCGCGATCTCCAATATTTGATCAGCTGGTTCTTCTCAGATTTCTGTGGCACCGTGATTTTTCTGCCTGTGTCATTATGCGTGACGTGCTTGCCCTCGTTTCAGCTTCCTGGCTTTCACCCACAGTAGCAGAGATCTGTCTTATGGCACCTCCCAAACTTTTATGAAATGCTGGAAACCATGCTGTAAATGAGGATCACTTTGGTAGAACAAAATCATTCCTGCAAGGGAGAAAGCCAAAGTCTGCTTTTTTTTAAAAAAAAAGTCAATAAAAAATTATATTTTAAGAAAAGAGTATTGTTTCAGACATAACCCCATTTTTTTGCTTTGAATGTTGTAATGGGACTAAGTGTTACTTAGCATCTTGATTCCTGTTAATTGTTTTTGGAAAACAGTCTTAAGTGTTGCTGTACTGACCTCTCTTGGGCTCCTGTGTCAGACTGGTTGGGGTTTCTACACGAAGCACGATGTGTATTGAAGCTGTCACAAGGGCCAGCTGTTGCTGAAGAATCTAGAAAAGAATGTTTTTTTTTTCTTCCAAGGACAGAGTTCTAAATGCAGTATTTCATAGTTGCATATTGTTTTCTTCCACGGCTTAAAAAAAAAATACCGTGACCATTATCGTAGATACATTTACTTTCGGTATGGTTTCCCCAGAGGATATTTCCTTGTTATTTCAAAGGGCACTATATTTATGTAAAGAAATCTGTAGAAGAGGCCTGTCCGATTTTGATCCCCACTTTATTTGATTTGGATCCGCCAATTCCGCAAACCAGGCAAAACGTCGTTTTGCAACAAAACAGTACGGAGCCATTTAAAAAAAAAAGGTCAAGCAAATGTTCAGAGTCATCCGGACGGACTGACCCAGTCGGTGTTGGAGCCTGGTTCCCGTATTGAAAGTACACACAGATGTTTCCTCCACGCTTTGATGGCGATGTGTCCTTCTGCGGTATGTGGGCACTGTGCGTCTTTGGATGGGTGGGCGTTCTCTTCCAGTAGAGGGGATTTGTGGAAATAAAGTGCAGATGAGAGTAGAGTGACAAGATGTGGTTAATGGCATACCTCTTCCACACTCTAGGTGGCAGTGCAGGGACTTTTAATGTCGAATTGGAAAGAAAAATACCCCCTATATACCCCGTTTTCTTTTCTGTCTTGGATATCATTTATGTGCTGGTGTTATGTTGTGAATTCTGCTTTCTTGGAAGATGAACTAAGGACCACAAAGTTTTCGTTTTGAGAGGAGGGGATTTCAAAGAAGAGAACGTCTTTATTAGCTGCGAGCCTGTAGTAGGAGAAAGGAAATTCAGATTGGTAATCGGTCGAGCCCGCTACGCTTCTGGGTCCTAGAATGCTTTAAGGTTGCAAGTCGTTTGGAAGGTGAAGTGCCCGTTGTGTTTTTCTCGTGATGGTCAAGAATATTAAAGTGGCCTCTTGTCGCAGTTTTTTTTTTTTCAAAAACATCGCTGCTGCGGAAGAGAGAGATTGGAGGAGTGCGTTGTGGCATGTCTGTAACTCTCCCCATGAAATCCAGTTTGCCTTCACCTCCGTTTAAGAAGTGAGAAGGGGAGAGGATCTCTCTTTCTGCTGGGGTATGGCTGGCTTTCCAAATGTTAAAATAACTCTGTGCTTGGCCTTGCCTGTTGAGAACTCCTCATCAACCCTGTGGAAAACCATGTTACTGTCTTAAACCACCTCAGATACTTGATTTCCATTCTTCTTTGGAGCTATGTGTCATGTAACTTAATCACAGAAGACCTCAGCCTGTGTGTAAAAAAAAAACAAGCTTAGAAATGATTTATTTAGGAAGTATGGAGACCGCCATTCTCAAAAACATTCCTTCACCTTGTGCACCTTTTGTTTCTCAATTCCTCTGCTTCATTCATTGGCACTGTTTTTTTTTGTTGTTGTGCATTTTCTTGATTTTAAGGCAAGGTTGTACAAAAGAGAGAACTCATTTTACTTCTCGTTCTCAATGAAGCAGAAGGTCTTCCCAGTGCAATGTAATCCGTTAAAAAAATCAGGGATCAGATTACAATATCAGGCCTGCAGGAGAATATACTGGAAAGCCAACCTTGATGAGAATCCTTGCTGTGAGCCAACCACCCATTCAAGGTTTTACAGTCCTTGAAAATGTCTGTTGCTTGCATTTTAGGCCAAAAATCAAAAACCCAGAGGGAGGCAGTCAGCAAATTAGGACTTATTTCCTCTATGGGATTTGTAGATGTTCTGGTACAAAGAGGGTCTAGTTTTTGACAGTCCACCTCCATGAAACCTTGGAACTGAGAAGCTTGCGTTTGTTTCAAATTTCTCAAACTTCTCATTTTCGGAAGTGACTGTTTTTGTTTTCGTTAAATATATCATTGGCATTACTCTGGTCGCAACCCGAGTTCAGATTCCAACATCCTTGCTGATCGTCGAGCAAGTGGGGAGGAAATTTTACTGCGTTTTGAAAGGATTTGTAAATAACAATACCTGCAAAACAAAAAGAAATCTACTTTGATTGTACTGTACTTTCTAAAATCTTATTGAATTTATCTACAGCTTTGTAGATACATGTACTTTTGCTGATTTATTAAAATGAGATTCTTTTAAAACAAGGTGTGGTTTTGGAGTTCTGTTTTTAGTTTCACAGCCACTATTTTGGGGGATTTGTACTGCTTAACTTACTCTCAAAACTGTTTGACATTGTATAGATTCCAGCCTGGACAGAAGATCTTCCTAAACACAGTTTTGTAGTTATTTTTTATTTGTCCCATGCAGTTCTTCATGGATGACTGCTTTTTCTCTCTACGTGAATTGTTTCTAAATGGAAGACAAAAGGGCTTAATTCAAGGTGGTTCGTATAGGATACACGGGAGAAATCGGATTAACGATACCCAGTGCGCTGAAGCCTATTGACAAACCGATATGCGTTAAACTAACATCACGACACTTAATGTTCAATCAGGTACGTTCCTAGATCCATTTTTTTTCCGATACCTGGAGCGTGAAAGGGAAATCAATTCAGGATGAGACACGCAGTAGGTAAACCAAACAACAAAAAAACCGCTCCCAGTGACTAATCACAGTGACCTTGTAATTTAAATACCTGTGACACTGTTCCGCCACGTTGGACTATCTACCGTGTCTGAGGCCCACGCTTGGATCATGTCCTGCTTGACTAATGTATTTAGGCTCCCGAAAGGACGGGAACCTATAGTAACGCAGACGAGCACATTGAGGGTGAAGCAGGTTTTCCTCCATTTCCTGACACGGCCTGCTTACGTTTCACAAGGCAAACGTCCGGGAGACAGACGTTTGGAAAGATTTAGGAAGTAAAATGCGGAATGCTTCCTCTTCATACACACTTCCCACTGATGGGCCCGGTGTTTAAAAGGAAGCGTTGAGCCGGCAACAGGTCTTGTGCCGCGTTCAGGTGAAGCCATTCTGCCAAGCAGCGGGCGTTGTGGCCCATTCAGACCCCCCTCGGAAACCCACTGAATTGGCTACTACACCGGCAAGAGAAGAGGTGCTGCCCAGACGAAGGGGCGATAATGTGGGGCAGCTTCATCGTGCAGCCGCAGGTGATGCTGAAAATGTGTTGCGTAAGGCGATACCGCGGTGATATCGAGTCGGAGATCTTGCAGCACAGGGAAGTTTAAGAGACGTGGTGGAACTGTGCGATAAGATGACATTTACAATCGGAACAACACTGCAGAGGTTCGCTGGTTCACTGATCCTAATATTTCCATACAGCAGAGACTCCGGTGTCTCTGCGCGTAGTCTTTAATTTCAAAGGCACAAGATTACTTAAGAACTGTGCCCCTGTATGGCGAAAGACATGCTGGTTTCTAACTGGCTGTTTCGTTTATTTTTTGTATGTTTTTCACCGGGTTTCTAATGTCCCGATTTAACTTTATAGAGATATAAGTTTTCCTGTTCGAATTAAAAGGGTGTTTTTTAAACTTAGTTTGGGTGGATTAAATCATGACAACCGCAATTTCCAGATTTTAGGCGTGGTAACCTTGAAGCTCCCTCGTGTATTACAGCTGCCAGTCAAGAATAATTACCCTAGGTGTAACCCGGCGTTTCTGCTTTTCTGTGTTTAATATCTATTATGCGGCTACGATGAATAAAAAGTAAACATCAAGCTCTGTATAATAAACTACCAACATCAGCTTCATCAAGGCTAAATTAATTATTGCGCTGTTAAATTTCATACTCGTCAATCTCTACACTTTCAGAGTCTAATACAGAGCTGTGTAGAAGTGCTACCTCGATTGCTCTACAAAGTGATGGTTTACCTGTTGTCAAGTGATCATATACAATCACTAACTTGTCTGGATAGTCTCGGCACCTGTCCTACTGTTTTGACAGGACATTCTTCTATCAGGACTTTCAGCCGATGCCAGTAAAGCTACTTTACTGTGCTTTTCTACAGAAAGGGACAAATAATATCGCGAACTTGGAAGATCTGGTTTTAGAAAGTTATTATCCCTAAGTACTCAGATGAGAAGCGTAGGGGACGGACAGGAAAGGATCATTTCAAAGCTGAAGGGCGATTTGTACCTTTAAAGTTCCTCGCTTTCCTCTCGTCCCGCCCCTTTCTGGCACAGGTGTGAAATAATTGTGAACCGTCGGCACGGAACAGACCCAAGCACCTGCAGCTCTCGGTATTGGTAAAGACAGGTGAGTCTTTTTCCTCCCACGGTCGACAACTTTTTGAGAGTGAAACGGGACGAGGAGAACATAATTTGAGCGATTTTCCGGGGGGGGTCTTGTTGGCAAATGTCTGTTTTAGACTTTTTCCGAAGTGAAATCGAAGTGTTCTTATTTTCTCGAGTCGATAACTAACGATGGGAACATACTTCCGTGAAGTCCGTAAAGAGAAGATCGAAGTGAAATCATATTTCTGTTAGCGGTTTCCAAGGAGGAACGCCGAAAATAGTTCCCAAAAATGTATAAAGCGGGTATCGTTATGCACATCGCTCAGAGAAAACATTCCTTGAAATGCTGTATTTTGAATAGCTCGACGTTTCTATTATGCTTGAAATCTTGGAATCCTATTTTTATTTGCAGTTGCTTTTGAATTCAAAAACTAAGATTCTCTTTTGTGGCTCTAACCCTAGATTGAAACCACGTTGCCGAATTTGTCACTTCCTGTTATGGATGGGGTGTTCATTATTGAATTATTTTTACATGGTAATGTTTAAGAAACAAAAATAGATACATGACCACAATATGGATGTTACTGGAATGCAAGACTTTTATCGTTTAAAGTCAATTAAAATGATTAAATTTAATCATCTGTGCAGGAGATTTATTACCCTTAAATTCCAGATCCCTGGACAGAGCGGTGTCTGTTAAAAAATATGTTCACCAGCTTTTTCTCCTACCTGCTACTATGGAGACTGCTAGCAACAAGAGACTGTTTTTTTTTTCAGCTCATAGTGTCATTTTAATTTAACTGAAAATTTCCCGTGCAACTAAATCTTAGCATCTAGAATTGGATTTTTCTCGCCAATTTCGCCAGATCGGGGCATTTTATATTATTGTTGTGCTCACAGAGCTTTGACATCTGAGCTCTGTTATAACTATGAGTATTTGAATATTTAAATATTTAAATATTCAAATGCAAAAGCCAGGATGGAAATAGCTAGCTTATTTGCATCATTTCTGTAGATCTAATAGGAATCGCATATATACACTTCTTAGTGGTCTTTCTGCAGATTTCGAGCATCGTATAAATTAACAGAAAAATAGGTGCATTTTCTCTGCACCTGTTCAGGTGACTATAAGTCACACACAATTGAAGCAGTACCCGGACTCTGCCTGACCGATGCATTTTGTGATGAATTTGACGGTTGTCAAGCAGAGCTCAGTTACAGTACAACTGATACTCATGATTGTTGTAAATACAGTTCACCAAAGAACCAATCAAGCAAACATTCGTAAAATAAGCTCAAATTGCAGTGGTGTGAAAATAAGCATTTTTATTATTTTTTACGTAAAAAAACCTACACGTTACACGTTTCCTTATGTTCATTTGCCAGAGAAGTGAAGTTTCTCTACTGCTGGAAATGCCAAGTTTATTTCTGCGTCGAGTCTTTGAACTGCTCTTGAACACGTTCTGTTTTGATCCCACAGACTCCCGAGGGTTAAAGACTTTTCCCCCCCAAGGCTTTAAATACGTAATCAGCTACATGTAATCAAAACTCAACACAACCCCACCTTTGACAAGCGATGATTTGATCTGTTTGAAATTAAATTTTGCCCAGCTGTATTTTAGCATGACACGTGTTGCCCGTGACCATCCTAGTATGACGGAGCTGCTGGGTTTATCAGAAGCGAAAAAACGTCGTAAAACGCAGGTTGTGACTTCTTGGGATCTCTTTTGGTGACAGGAACGACCACTAATTCTGTTTGACTGCTCACGATCAGGAAGAATTAAGGAAAGCAGTTGTAACGCAGGGTTGGAGTTATCGTCACAACGCTCTGTAGTTTATCCTCCGTGAAGAAAGCTTTTCTGATTGAGTTTGACCAGTGTGACACGTATACACGTAAAGAGGTAATCCCGTCCTTACTGCAAAAATAGGGCCGGAACTGAAATGCATTTAAATAGTAAAACGGAAGAAACACGATGACAACCGTAATCTCAAGAAGTCTGCAGATTGACAGAAGTGTTGCGATATATTAGCATTCAATGCGTTTCATTAAGGATTATTTTGAGAGTTAGTATCGATATTTTGTTGTATTGTGATAGAGGTCTTATTATACTTCATTTGTGATGCTCAATAATCATCCATTTCATTTATTTTTTTTGACCCTGCAGAATATTTGATGATCATATCTGAGGGCTAATTCTTAAATGAACAATGTCTCCTTTCCAGTTAAAGGTTGTAGCACAGACTGGCCACATTGTCTGGAAGCTGCAGTTCGTGAGCAGATTGTAAAATGAAAACGCGTTATTGTTTTCATTTCTAGGTTATGTTAAAAGAACCAGGTGTGTCAAGAGTTAACTCATCCAGGGTGGGGTGGGGTGGGGGGAGTTTTTGAGTCTTGTCAACTCTGGGAAACTCAGGTGACCTAAGCCTGAATATATTTAGCTTGAAAAATGGTATGTCAAATCGCTAGTTCGTCGAATACGATTCTTCAATATTCCATTCCGGTTTAACTGCATTGCTTGCAAATGATCACTTCTAGCCTGTGTTACTGGGTTGTTGGACATCAAAACTGAATATGCTATTTTCCTCCAAGGTTTGAACATCTTGTCAGGTCGGGATTAAAATCTAAATACATTTCAGTGAATTTGAAAAAACATAAAATGTGTGATTATTTAAAACGGAGTCAGTCTCAGGCCATTGCTAGAACACCAATTGATGTCTTCTGGTTTTGTGCTTTTGAAATGGGAAGGTGGGGGTGCACTGCCTTGTACTTCTGGGACATTGTGTCAATATTTACAATGAATGTCAAGTGCAGTTAGCATTTGGAACCTTGTGAAAGGCATAAAATAGAATAACCTTTTTCTTTACTTAATCCCTTTCAGATATTTATTGTCAGAGCTAGTAAACAGGCCTCTGCTTCAGTTAGGTTTGGTCATTATCATTTAATTAATTGCTTACACTTATATAGCGCTTTTATGGACACTCCACTCAAAACGCTTTACAGGTAATGGGACTCCCCACCACCACCACCAATGTGCAGCATCCACCTGGATGATGGAAATACATTCATTTTTCCCACTCACATATGAATATCTTTAATAAGGTCTTAAGACAGAACTTTTACAGAGGCTAAATGTTGACTGTTTGCTAGCAGAAATCCCACTTTAGTTGTTTACAGACCACATCTCCTAATGAAACAAATGGATAACAAAAGAATATAACTTTCTCCAAGTTAGCTTGGCCCTTCACTGAATTAGAAATTGTGAACTACTAGAAAATCCTTGAGAGGGAAGGTTCCTTTAAGGAAGGAAACTGTGTGTAGCAGGAGCAGCCTCAGTCATGGGTTATTTTGCTGCCCGAAACTGGAATCTAGTTCTGTTTGTTTCAGTAATGGACACCTCATTCAACTGATGTCATTTTGGAAGTGCTACACCTGGACTTCCAGGCACAACAGCTGCTCGAAATGAGTCATCATCGTGTAAATGCTTGTTTGGAATCTCCCAGAATGTAAATGA